TCCTATAACTACAGCCCTGCCCATCTCAGTCCTAAATTCAGTTGCTAGTCTTGACTAGAACTGACCCATGAAATCAATGGGGATTTAATAAGCTGGCATTGACATAAATTCCTATGACTGAAAGGGTCTACTTTCTTAAGGATTAGCAATTGGATTTAGAGCATTGTTTAAAAATTTAAATGTAAGTTTTTAAAAATATATATGAAGGGGGATTTTTAAAAAAAAAAACAAATAATGTCCAAGCCACAAACGCAAGCAATCCATAGTACTGGTTGGTCCTAGAGTCACAGGCCTTGGAGGGGCTGATTTGTGAGCCTCATGGCATTAAAAATAATCTGTGTATGCCATTACTATGCCACACTGCCTCTACAGATATATAATCTGTAATTTCCCCAAATAAATCAAGTTTTGATGAAGATAGGTCAGCTATCTTTGAAGGGAGAGTGATACAAGCAATGTTACAGTGATACTCGTATGTTCAACATTTTCTGTTGGTGTTTTATCTAGTCAATTTGCTAGCTTGGCAAAGCATGGAAAACTGATCTGTTCAAGATGTTTTTAGAAAGAAAGAAAAGAAAGTGGAAATTTGTACTCCATAAACCCTACAGTTACAGGAAGAATTTTCAGCAGTTATTAATATATGACAAACTTTGAGGTGGAACAAAAACAGCAGCAGCAGGAAGAAGAAGTATTTGAAATGGCACAAAACAATCCTTCTAGACTGAAAGCAAAGAAAGGAGAAGAAATCCATTTCTAATTAAAATTGTTGTGGGATTCCAAGGAGGCAAAAAATTTAATTACAGGAACTGGAAATTATCCAGGCATTCATACAAAACGCCTCTAACCTTATGAAATGTTACATGGAATTTATAATCAGCATTGATACAGCCATTAAGGATTGGGGTAGGGAGGGAAAGAGGTTTCTCCCAATACTTATACAATCATCTAGCTGGAATAGACTTCAAGGGCCATCCAGTCCAACCCCCTGCCATGGAAGAATAAATAATCAAAGCACTCCGAACAGATGGCCATCCAGCCTCTGTGTAAAAACCACCAAAGAAGGAGACTCCTTCACACGCCGAGGCATCATATTTCACTGTCAAACAGCTCTTACCCTCAGGAAGGTCTTCCTAATGTTTAGGTAGAATCTCTTTTGCTGTACTTTGAATCCATTGCTCCATGTCCTACCACACAATCTTTGGTCTCACCACAATTGCGTTACTAAAAAAAACCCAGAAACATACCAGTTTGGGAACATTCATTATTGCATGTCTCTGCAATAGTGTGACTGTGATGCTTTTGCCATCAATGGTTACTCACACTCTCTTCCTAACTCTTTCTTAGCCATGCCTTCCTGCCCTACATCCTACTAAGCATGCTGTTTTGGGTT